CATACATATATATTAAAAATGTTCGAGGCCAGCAGATGCTGCAAATGCCCTCATCCCCTCATCTACAGTCAGGCCCAGATGTCCTGTAAGTAGCGCTTCTCCTCTCTAAGCTGTGCCAGTTTCTTCATGGCCTCCAGTTGGTCCACGTGAAGCTCGCTTTTAATGATCTCCACCAGGGTCTCATTCACGTCTTTAGCCATGTTCTTTGCATCCCTGAGGAGTAAAAATAAAAGCACATATGTTGTTCATAAAAATAACATTTGCATCAATCTTCGAGTGCATCCTGGAAGGAAAGGGTTAAGACTTTTATCTAGCTGCTGCAATGGTTTGTCAGTAAAACAGAGATATTTTTTCTGACTGAGAAAACCCGCAGTCTTGATGTTTTAGAAGTAATTTACTCAAAGTCGAAGAGAGACGCCTGAGAGGGAGAAACTGGTTTAAAAAAATGTGATATGTACAGTAGTAGCTTTAAAATGCTGACAGGATTTGGCGTGATTTATCCCCGTTTGTGTTTGATGTTGTCTTTGTACTGACAGAGACAATTTGTACTGAGAGAGACAAACACAACGAGGAGGGGGGGGGTTGTACAAACTACAAACAGAACACAAGGCTGCGTCGCAGAAACCAGCAATGAGCGATCCGAGCAGTGATCGTGTGGCTCGTGTTTGGATTTTAAGAAGTCAGATCTTTTGAAAGCAAAACCCTGTTTTTATTGTTTTTAATAAGCTGGAAAAACTGGAATTTAAACGTCAAACACGGCGCAACAAAAGCATAATTTAAAAAACTTTCTGGCTCATAATCGTAGAACAGCTGATTCAACTTTAAAGAGGCCAAAATAAATGTTGAAAAACCCTCTAGTTTCAGGAGTAAAATCAAAAACTAGAGCTACAGATACGGATGAATTTTGTCGGTGCCCTTCAATAATAATAATAATAAAAATCAATGTGACTGAAGCCAAAAAAAAAAAAAAAGCTCTGGTTTTGTCTCATCAGTCCCTGAAACTTCTTTCAGAAACTTTGCAGCATATTGACAAATTCCAGTCTGGCTTTTTGGTATTTTGTTTGCCAATATTGGAGCCCTCCTCTGTCTTCTTCCATGAAACCCAGTATGATTCAAACCATGTTGAATATTTCCATCAGAAGCCAAAACTCTGGAGTTCATCTTGCTGTAAGGATTATTCATGGCAGTAGTGAGCAGTGGTGGACAAAGTACTCYGTTTCCTTACTTGCGTCGAAGTACTGATCCTAATGATCAAATAAWACTCCAATAAAAGTAAAAGTAGCCCTGTTATTATTTAAGCTAAAGTACTGGGGTATGCGCTTTCAAAAAATGCTTTTCACTTGAGCGTAATCGAGAATAATTGGGAAATAATAATTGTAAACAAATTACAGTGCAGAACAGTAGAAGCATAAACACGAATCTTGTCCAATTTCTTGCAATCAGTCTCCCACAATTATAATTTGCAATAATCGTCATTAAAAATTTAAGCATAGTTTACATCAGAACTTCCCTCCAGAGTCCACTGTTCTACTGACAACATGACAAAGCGAGTTGACTGTCTTATCCATTCACGACACAAGAACCTGTCATTCTGACAGCACTGACCCGCTGACACGATTATTAAGTTTCAAGAGATGAACTAAGGATTYTGAGCAAGAGACTGGCTTCTGTAGGTAATCCATGGTGGTTTGCTAATTCTGCGAGTTGTTTTGAGAAGGCACTTGTTTTGCAAATGTCGAAAAGGATTCGAGAAACGCACCGAATCAAGTGAGAAAAACTGTAAAAGCAGGACTAATCAGGATCTAAACAAAGACAAACAAACAGTGCTGAAACATGTCTAGTAGTGAATGTATTGAGCTGATGCCTCTCAGCAAACAGGTTGCCGGAGCAAATCCTGGCCCGGGAACCTTTCTGAGTTAGCACGTTCTCTCCGTGCATGTGTGGGGTCTCTCCGGGTTCTCCAGCTTCTTCCCACACACCAAAAACATGACTGTTAGGTTGACTGGTAACTCTAATTGTCCCTAGGAGTGATATATTGTGCAGCCCTTGTATAGATAATGGATGGAAGTGAGACAAAAATGTTATTTTTATTCTCCTCACAACTGGTTTGAGGCGACTTATCGCCACCTACCGTACAGGGGTGTAGTGTGTAATTTTACAGTGTGTCGGTGGAACAAAACAGACGTAAACTACACAAACACGGCCAAAAAAGGAAACAGTAACTAAAGCCTTTAGAGAAATGTAGTGGAGTAAAAAGCATGATTTTTATTGTTAAAATGTAGTGTAAAATGTATTTTTTTTAATATGCTCCTCAAGTAAAGTACTAATTCTCAAAAACTGTACAGTACTCAAGTAAACTCACTGTGTTACTACCCTCCTTTGGTAGTGCGCCTCATGTTCTTGTATTTCTTAACTTAAATGTTACCATTTCATCTTGACAAGGACTGAATTTAGAAATAAAAAAGAACATTTCCTTCTTTAATGAAAGATGTTTGTTGCAATGAGGCGAAAATTGAAATCAATCAATTTAAAATGCTTTAATTTTACCCAGATTTTACATCCCTTTTCTACCAAATAAAAATCAACTAAATCAAATAAAACAATTTGTGAAAACTTGCTGAACTTCATATGAGTTTTAATTATAAACCACACAGGTGTTATTACCACTCCTGTATAGATAAAACCTGAGTCATGAAGAAATGCATTGATTTCTGTGAATGCAGAGCACAGATGGTGAGGCCACCACAGGGCACTGATTCTCAGCATCAGGGAGTCGTTCTGGTGGAACGAGGATACAGAATAAAAACACACAAAGGAACTGTTCTTTAACAGGCTTGAAACAACAATTGGTTTAAAACAATTATACCACATAAAGGATAAACCTCTTTACAGATTGAAAATTAATGGGGTATATTTAAAATGTGAGCTCTGTGATCAAAGCTCAGCTCTTATGAACACCTGTTTAGTCCAAGAGATACTATCTGCATAAAAAGTACCAGAAGGTTTAGAATACGTCACTTCCAAGTATAAAAAACACTTTTCTTAAATAATCTCTCCCACATGAACTCAGAATTTAAGATTAATTCTAAAAGTCACAGCTTTGATTATGATTATATAACATCTGACCATAACTGCCCGATATCTGGCTTCAGATTTCTTTTTTTATTGGTGCCAAAATACTAAAAACAGATTGCTTAACTAAATCCAAGCAACCATAATTGAATTGATAAAACCATTTAGAGCTGGCATCCATGAAAAATGTCAAGAAGAGTAAAAATCTGTGCTTGTTTTGGCAAGTTTGTTGTGCACTTTTATCTGCTATTTCGGTCAGCATTTCTCAAACTGGCACCAAACTGTACCAAAAGTACTGTATCTTCAGACACTAGTACATAATCAAAATATATAAGATTACATGTAAAATGTCATCTATTCTCAGGCTAACGTAGTTGTAGATAATTCTTTGAACAACTTTTTTTTCCTCTTCGACATGACCATCTTTCCATTCCACCACTATTATCGCTCTCTGCGGTTTCTTCTGTGGTTTAAAAAGCAGCACGTAGAAGCGTTTCTGCCCCCAGCAGTTTGTGTATTTYATTGCAGATAAAAATGAGCATTAACATAGTTAAGTAATACGAATACTCGATAATAAAATTCTGTGTCGACTATTTTGACTACAACTTTCAAACCTCTAGGTCTTTTCTCTTTCTCTCAGAAACTCTGCCGACGTGCTGCATGTAACCTGACATTTTACGCCGCGCTGTACACGGTGAGTTCATCGATCTTATAAAACTAATTTATCCTAATTGATCTTGTGATTAATGTAGCTTTGGACATATGAGGAATCTGTCTTCATGTTCAAGTCAATACCATGGATAGAAACCAAAGGTAATCTGACAAAAGTAGACCATGCATGTAAAGAGCTCGAGGGCAGGAATAAAGCAAAGCCTGAGATGTTCTGCCATCCACTTGGCACCACAAAACACAGTGATCCGTTGAACGTAATAACTAGAACACGACACGTCATTTATGCCACATAGGTGTAACAAATGTGATAAAAAGCAGTCTTACCCGCAGACGTAGACGGAGCCGTTCTGACTGAGCAGGACGTCGATAACTTGTTGGGAATAGAGCAACAGATTGTGTTGAACATATCTGGGTTGTGCTGCTGAGGCGACGGCCTCCTCATCCTCCCTGTCGTCTCTGGAGAAGCACGCTTTGAGGTGGGTCAGGGTGCCGCTGGACACAAACTCCTTCAGTTCTGCTCTGGAAGATGAAGAACATTTCTGCGTTGATACAAGTATTCAACATTTGACTTGTTCTTAAAATGCTTTGCTGGAGTCAGGTAAGTGGCTTTAATTTTGGATTAAAGKTATGTTACTTTCATTAACGTCGATCCTTTGGTTATTTGCAAGAAGAACCTTCAGTTCAGCTTGAAGGCRTTCAGAGGAATAATGTTTCTGCTGGATTTACTGTTAATCCAGTCGAAATCACACCCTATTTCTCCAACTGAGGTCATTCAAAAATTGATCTACAACAGGTAAGACATTAATTGTTCATAACTCTTCCACAAAACTTMACTTCAGATCATCTAAATMAGAGGTGTCCAAACATTTTGTCACATGGGCCAAAATCATAAAGTCAGAAGGACTTGAGGGTCAAAAATATTTTTCCTTTACCTGCTCAACAATAAACTAAGCATTGAATACTTTAATCAAACAAATAGTCAGATTTATTGCTGGAAATGGATGTGTAAATTAATCTAGATCCAGAACTTTAAAAGTGTTTTGCAGGATTCTCTTATTAAAAGAAATTTAGCAATTTTCTAGGTTTCAATTGGGGAAAAAAAAATAACCCAGTTTAGTCAATTCTGATCAATAAAATCAGTATTTAAGTCACTCTTTCGTTGAAAAGGCTTGCTGTATTCAAACAAATTTAATAAATTCATTAAAAGCCGATTGGAGTGCAACAAAATCAGCTTTTAAGTAGAAGCCACTAGATAGATGTGGAAAAAACTGAGTCTGGTTTTTAAAGAAAAATAATTGGTATTGTTGCTAATATTTTTTATT